CCCCAAAACCCCAAAACCCCAAAACCCCATCATTTATAATTTTAGAAATCATGAAATTTTACTCAAAAATATAAGTAAATTATTATAATAATGAACTCTGAGCGAAGGTCTTCTGTTTTTGCCTTCGAAGATAATGATAAGCTTAAAGAAGAACCACTTCTTAAGCCTAGCATTGGAAACGATATGTTTACATAAAGATTTTCTTAGCGAGAAGATGAAAAATATCTTGTCAATAGAAAGGATACAGTAAGATCAGACGATATGGCTGGCAGCAAAATGGTATCTGTAAGCCATTTTATTACCAAATGCTTAAAATAACTATACTAACAAGCATTACTGCTTTAATTTCGAATGTTAAAAACAATATATAGTAGTATAATGAAACTTAATAAGAGAGAACAGACTCAGATAACTTTGATAGTACTTTACTGATACCAAGGAGATTTGAGCTTTTCAAGATTTATAACAAGAAGAGAGATAAAATAAAGCCTTTCTGCAATAATGAAATATCTACATCAAAGTATAATCTGATAACATTCTTGCCTAAGAATCTGTTCTTTCAATTTAGGAAAATGTCTAATCTCTACTTTTTGTTAATGGCTTGTCTAGAGGTAAGATATAGCATGAATTTAAACATTATTAGCTTATCAAAGAAATATCAGATTCTAATGGTGTGCCTTTGATGCTAATGCCACTCAGTTTTGTGGTACTTGTGTCAATGGTAAAAGACATATTTGAGGATTTGAAAAGACATAAGAGTGATAGATTTGAGAATAACCTAAAGGTACTAGTAGGCAATCATAAAACTGGAGAGTTTGATGAGAAAAAATGGAGAGATGTTCATGTTGGGCAAATTGTTAAAATCAGGCAAAATGAATTTTTTCCAGCAGATATTGTTCTTATGAATAGTTCTGCCCATAAAGGTATATGCTACATTGAAACGAAAAATTTAGATGGTGAAACTAATTTAAAGCATAAACAATCAAATAAAATAACGATTGATATGTCAAAGTCTGATGAAGAAGTACTCAAAAACTTCTAGGGTGCTTATGTAGAATGTGAAAATCCGAATGAGGTACTTTATAAGTTTGATGGCACTTTAATCCTTTAAAACTAGCCGATTCCCTTGGGAGTAGATCAAATGCTATTAAGAGGTAGTAGTCTAAAAAATACTGAATACATTTATGGAATAGTTATTTTCACTGGACATGAGACTAAAATTATGAAGAATTCCGCAAGATCTCAAAATAAGTTTTCAAAGTTAGAAAAAGCAACAAGTACATACATTTTGGTCATTGTAATCATTCAAATTTCTCTGAGTTTACTTGCTGCTATTCTTAACTCAATATGGGAAATAGTTAACTATGATAATTTCCCTTATATAAGAGTAGATGATGCAGATAAATATGGGTTTTTTAAAAATCTAATAATAAAGTTGGGAACATGGTTTTTGAGTCTCTCAAATATAGTTCCAATTTCATTGCTTGTGACCCTTGAATTGGTTAAGTTTATCTAGGCTACATTCATCTCTTGGGACATCTTAATATATGATTTAGACAAAGACATGCCAACTAAGGCTTAATCATCAAATTTAAATGAAGAGTTAGGCACTGTTCATTATATTTTCTCCGATAAAACTGGTACTCTAACTTAAAATGTCATGGAATTCAAGAAATTTTCGGCTGGAAAATACTCCTATGGAAAATCTAGCCCTTAATCTGACCTTTACGAGCTTAAAAGAAATGGAATTACAAATGTAAATTTTGAAGATCAAATGTTCAATGATCATTTTAATGATCCCAATCATCCTAATCAACAGTATCTACAAACTTTCATAGAGGTTTTAGCCGTTTGCCATACTATCATTGTCGAGGAAAAAGAAAACTAAGTTGTATATAATGCATCATCACCAGATGAATTAGCTTTGGTTAATGCTGCAAAATTCTTTGGATATACTTTCAAGGGTAGAGATGAAGATAGTAATTTGATTGTTGATGTTTAAGGAAGAGAGATCAAGTATAAGCTTTTGAATGTTATTGAATTTACTTCAGCTAGAAAACGTATGACTGTCATTGTAAGAACAGAGGACGGTAAAATTAGAGTTATGTGTAAAGGAGCTGATTCTATAATTATACCCTTATTAAAGAAGAATTAAAGTATAGTTGAAAAGACAACCTAATATCTAGATTAATATGCAAAAGAGGGATTGAGAACATTGCTAATCGTAGAAAAAGAAGTCAATGAAGAATTCTACAATGAATGGAATGAGGAATTCTAAATAGCCCTTGTTTCATAACATTAAAGAGAAGAATAGATAGGGAAGGTAGCAGAAAAAATAGAACATGAATTTATCCTTATTGGATCTACTGCAATCGAAGACAAACTTTAAGAGGATGTTTCAGGAACTATAAAGTTCTTGAAAGAAGCTGGTATAAAAATTTGGGTCTTAACTGGAGATAAAATTGAAACTGCCATAAATATTGGTATATCTTGCTAGCTGCTTACTTAAGAGATGGAAATATTTATTGTTGATTAGAAGTCCACAAAATAAATAATGCTATAAATAACCCAGCATAGAAGGGATTAAAAGCTGACTGAACTAGTCAGAGAAAACGGAGTTATAGTATCAGGAGAAGCATTGATTAAAATAACTAAGAATCCAAGAGTTAAGGATGAATTCTTAGAATTAGCAAAGGCAGCTAAAGTTGTCCTTGCATGTAGAGTATCGCCGAAACAAAAGGCAGAAATAGTAAGAATGGTAAGAGTTTCATAGCCTGATAAAACCACATTGGCCATTGGTGATGGAGCGAATGATGTCAATATGATAACTGCTGCTCATGTAGGAGTCGGTATTAGTGGATTAGAGGGATAATAAGCTGCAAGATCTAGTGATTATGCTATAGGATCATTTAGGTTCTTAAAACCATTACTATTTATACATGGGAGAGAAGCGTACAGAAGAAATTCATATCTGATTTCTTATATGTTTTACAAAAATGTGATTTTTGTGTTTCCCATCTTTTGGTATGGCTTCATTTCAGTATTTTCAGGCTTATTTTTCTATGATGGTATACTATATTAACTTTACAATGTCTAATATACAAGTATGCCAATTATGTTCTACGCATTATTTGACTTCTAACATACGAAAGAAGAATTTTTGAGAGATCCAAAATATTACAAAATAGGCTTCAAAGGTATTTCAATTTTGCATTTAATGTTTTAGACGAATGTTTCAACAAGTTTGTATTTTGGAGATGGATATTTTATGGGATATGGCAAGGTGCTCTTGTTTTATTCCTTGGATTTAATACGATGGAAGATGTTGATGGTTCTTCAGGGAGAAACAGCTCATATATTGTTGATGCATAATTTGTGTACATGGGAGTGGTAACATTAGTAAATATTAAGATCTTGACTTCTTCTAATACTCAGACATTCTGGTCATTCTTCTTTTCAATCGGCAGTATCCTCACTTTTATAATAGAATTCTTTATCGTCAACCTGTTTTCATCTTCAGATGTTTACCTTCAGTGGATATTTGTGTATGGCCATCCACAATTCTATGTAGCCTTATTTTTCATAGGAGGAGCCTTGGTTTTAGTTGACAATGGTCTACATTTGGCTCAATATGAGATTTAACAGTTTATTGAAATTCAAGAGCAATACAGAACACGAAAAATGAAATACCTCATTGATCATGACACAGCTATTTAAAGAAGAAGGATTACTAAGCTATCTCGTAAGTTCGATTTTAGATGTCTGATATATTTCTATAGATCGTGGATTCGCCTTTTCATAGGAGCCAGGATAATCACCTTAGATTACTGATAACTTGCTTAATAAGATTCAAAAGTCTATACAATATAAGTATGGCTTCTCACCTAAGGTTGTTGAATCCAATACTCAGTACAATCCTCTCGAATAACTTGACAAGATTTAAGAGGAAGAGGCTGATATCATTGAACAAAATCATATTTAAGGATTCAAGCAGTCCCATGAAAACTTACAAAATAACTATTTCCTAGAGTCAAAGAGTAGCGACACCAATGAAGATGAGAGAAATAAATCATCAATTAATATGGGTCTTTACTGAGACTTTTATATACTCGCATCTAAATATTTTATCCTTTCTATTAATTTGAACTAATAATTTTAGCTTACTATAGCATCTGGGGTTTTGGGGTTTTGGGGTTTTGGGGTTTTGGGGTTTTGGGG